TGAAAGTGACGCAGCACTGAAAGCATCCTGAAACTGAGAACTTTCTCAAATTCATCATTTTGACACTTTGTCTAGTTCCTGGATAGAATAAACTCTAAATTCCTTGGACCACAATCTTTTTTCAAAAATTGATGAGTAGAAGCAAATTTACTTGCTTATTAGCATTCTTCGGACATTTGGCAGTGGGTACTAGAAAAGCAGAGATTGTGTTGAATGCTTATGTTTCGGATCACGTGTCTAGATGTCTCACAGTAAAATTGTCTGTGGAGGCAATATAACAGTTTTACTGGTTACTTTCAAAAATTTTTTATTGGCCTTAAGGAGTACACTGAAATGCATGTAGCTCAGCCTGTTCTGTCAAGGTATTCTAGACTGATTCAATTTCTTTTTTACATCAGAGCTCAGCGTAGCCAGTGATGTGAAGGAGCATATGCACAACCTCTTGCAGAGAGCATTTGATTAATTTTTGATCCGTCTTTGACAAGGTTAGCTAAGTTATGGCATTTTTTAAATTAATTATTTGGGGGCTCAGGACAAAAAGACTTGATATATTTACTTGGCTTGCTGATAGCTTTTCAAACAATCAGCACAAACAACATTCGTAGAGACTGATGATATTTTTTATCCTCTCTGTTTTTTCTGCATATAATTTTTATGCGTTTTTAAGCCTTTTTACCCTGCAACACTATAACGCAGCTCCAGTGAGTGAAAACACACTACACACACGCCAAAATACGGTCAATACGTTAAGCCCCAAGGCAGGAACTACTCTTGCTGTTAATGACCTGATTCCAGGAAGTTTAACGCTAAAACGCATGCACACACAAGTCTAGTGCAGTGCAGCGTGGGTTGCATGTTACGCCAAGTGCAAATGCAAAAACGCGTGCCGTCGAGTGGTTGTCTGTCTGTCTGTGCGCCTGTATGCGTTCGTGTTCGGAAGCGAGTGAGCTTATTTATTGGAATTTCTCCCACTGATTTCTCGATTCAGTCAGTGTGCGTAGCACAAAATTCTGGATTTCCGGATTGTTCGTTCTAAAATTTTGATGCCAACATCTGCTTAATTGTTTTAATATTTTACGGTATTTGGCCTGCAAAAAATTTCGAATTTGCAGATCATTTCATTCTGAACTCACAAAATTGCATGAATTTTGGCGAGTAAGTTCACTGAGAGTTCAGGCAGCATGCACTGATGTACGTAAGGAAGGAACAGTGCCCCAAAACCTTTGTTTCCTATCTTTCGTGCCTTTTAACCTGTGGTATCCGCCTATCATTCCAAATTTTTTGCCACAAATAGTACACAAAACACATGCTTACACACAAATATATAAACATACATGTGCATACAGACACACATATGTAGATGTATACTAATGTGAAATTGAGATTTTTTTTTAATAAGGTTCATTCACTAGCAATCAGCTAATTTAACCAAGCTTTACAGACACCCCTGAACTGATACGAAGGAGGGCCGATAGGCCCCAGAACAGTCGACTGGTTTATGTAGCATCAGCGCAGAAACTGAATAAAAAGGTTGCATTTGCAACAACCCGACCACTTATCCTTCCAAGTTTTGTTAAATGTTTTGTCGGATCAATGGCCTTTTCTCCCGTGCATTGAGATGGATAGTCGTTTCCGAGTGGCCAGGAGAGAAGACCATAGACCACGGTCATTCACCTGCCTTGGAGCTGAATCCGAAATATTTCATAAGCAGAGCTCAGTCTGCATCGATATGCGCCATAACGGCTAAGTAAACTATGTGTTAAAAGTTTTAACTTTTTACTGTGCAAAATTAAAAATTGACGATTAACGCTGAGGAGAATAATGGAAGACGAAGCTGGTGGCATCACGACTGAGAATTATTGCGAGAAGTGAGCAGCTAGAAGAAGCACTGAGTTAATTCTTGACAGCTGACATTTTTGTGACCTTGAGAAACATGCATCAGGGTGCAGAAGGGGAAGGAGAGGGGAGAGGGGAGGGGTGATGCGCTCGTTAATCATTTGCAAGTGCTTCTTGAACTGATGCGCACTTTCGTCATCGGTATGATGGCTATTAGTTACAGATCCGGGAGCAACTGCCCAAACTTTTTCGAGCATTGTGTGGGCGGAGGAAAGCGAGGAAGATGAGGAAGTGAGGGAGAAAGAGCGATGAAACAAGTTTTTTGAGTGCTGAAACAAAAATGATCCCAAGGTAATCATTTTTTTTTAGCTTAATTGCATCCATGAATTTCTGCATTTTCAAATAATTAGCATTGCATAACTCATAGGTCTTGAAATCTTTGCAATAATCAGTTTGTAATTTAGGCTTTACAGAATGTATTACCTTTACAACTGTGAGCAATACTTTGCGTCATCCTGGAAGTGAGAATGTCACAAATTTTTTTAGCTCAATTTGCACTTAAGACGCGCATTTCACTTTCTTGCATAGTTCAATAAATGAGAGTGCGCTTTTCGGAGAGCAAGCGCATACCTGCATTTGGCAAAAAATTTTCTTAGATACTGCATGTGAATGCTCTGATGTACACGAAATGCCTTTACTTTATCACTAAGTTCTTGAGAAACATCCGATACAATCGAAGTACCAACAGTTAATTTCTTGGTTTGCTCTACCTTGGAGGTGTAACTATTTGTATTTGAGGTGAAAGTTTAATTTGCGTAGGTGAGGCGGAGGAGCTTGAAAAATTAATTCTAAACTATATATTTTGTGCCGTCTAATAATAAAGCTGAACTTCGAATTTCAAGTCTTGGCTCAATCATTCCAAAGCAGCGAATTTAACTGAACTCTGCAGCTTCTATTTCCGGACTGAACCCCTCACGACTTGAAACCGAACACAGCTAGGAACTCGAAATTTACTGTAATTCTGGCACGAATTCAGGCTTTATAACTTCGGAGCGGGTGAGCTAGAAATTTGAAATTTTCGATGCATAACGATCTGAGGAAAGCAGCATCAGAAATTCGTTTTTGAAACCAAATATTTCCTGATCTTTTTTTTTCTAACTAATTCGAGACATAGTACTGAAATTTCCAGATTAATTCCATAGCACTGTGGAAATCCATTGTCGATGACCTGACCTATGAATAACTGCTACTAAGGTACAAACAGAGACTGCAGCTCCAAAGGGAAGCAAGTTGTGAATGCTTTTTTGAAATGAATAATTCAAAAATCATCGTGTTAGAGCTCAGCAAACTGCTGGATGTTTTGCTGCTTTCGCTAACTGGGAGCAAGAAGCAGTGTGCTGCAGAAATGCATGCTGACCCTTTGACATTTGACTCCATTTTTTACATAAATGACGCAAGAACACATAATTTTTTTGATTTTTTTTTAAAACCATAACATTTTATAGTCAGATGGCAAGTGGTGGCGCTGTCTTGGCATTGCACGAAAGAAATGGCGAAGGTATGGAATCTAGCGCACACGATTACTTCCTCAGAAGGTATGTTGCTCGAAAATGTGTCAGGGAGGTCATCAAAACTGCTTGAACCGTCAACGTGGAATTTAAGTGCTGCTGACTGAAACAACGCGTACAATCATGTTTCGCTCAGCTATTACCTTCTATGTGTAACTTAAATAAGTTAAAAGTCAAATCTCCTCCTATATTCGCTCTTCATGTGTGATGAAGAGAAACGTGAAACTTAATCAAACGGATAAAAAAGTTAGCTGGAAAAATTTGCGATATGTGCCATGTTAATACAGTAATAAAAAAATGTAAATAACAACATGAAATTACGAGAAGGGAGTGCATCACTTCGGACAAGAGAAGCCAAAATCGAAGCGAGCCCCTCGATGCTGTGCCGGGTGCTGATATCGAGCAGTGACTTGAACTCCTAAAACGGCACATTTGCCTTCAAATTTCCGAACTCAAAAATTATGGATGCGCCAGGAAGTATTCTAAGCAAACACTCAGTAGAGTGTTTAATATTTATGCTAGAAAATTAAAACCGTGCAGGTACAATGAGGGCCCAAGTCGCAATTGTTCAGCTGATTACGAAAATACGAATGCGTTCGATGATATCGAGGCAAGGATTCCTTTGGAGAAGGATCAGACACGAGAGCAACTGGATGAGCGGTTGAATAATACCGTAAGTTTCATTGTGTTCACATCAAGGACAAAAGCAGTGACCTGGTCACAATTTCTTTTGAGGAAAAAACATTTTCTACTGAGCTGATGTATGGAACATAGTTTCAGTGCGTTTACAGACAGAACTTTTTTAGCGCTTTCAAATATTTTGTGCTAAAATCAAAAGTCAAAACTCCCTCAGCATTCACTCTTTGTGCAAGGCGCAAGCACTTGGAAGCAGTTCGGCAACTAGCTGCTAGCGAAACTGCGGACAGTTCCAGCTGTCGATGTATCATTGAAGATTTGGTGGAGCCAAAAAATTTTTCGCATTTTTCAAAACGCTGTAATGCCGAAAACAGTTTAAACAGGATTCAATATTACGCTTAAATATTGGTGGAACGAGCTATCGAATACGGACTCAGTCTATATTCAGACATGGTCCACGATCATTGCTAGGTAAATTTGTTCGCGTTGATCATGAACTCAGGAAGCAGTGGGCTGATTGGTATTTTGAAGAATCGGACGAGTATTTTTTCGAACGAGTTCCAAGGTACATCTTTTTGATGAAAAATCCTTCAGCTGGCTCTTAGTAGCATAAATCAGAAGAAATTTTCGGAAATTGTGAGTTTCAGAAAGATCAGTCGGAGTTTTTTCTACTGCTTTAGAAAAAATGAACATTTTGTCTTATTGTTTTACACCGATTTTACTTTTATTTACTTCTGAATGATTCTCGGCTGTTTTTAAAAAGCTTCCGAATGATTTTTCGTACGTCACCGTACTGTTTCTGGGTTTGATTTTCATCTTTTTTCTGTTGGAAATATTTCTTATTTCTTATCTTTTCTTTAGCGATTTCCTTCCTTCTGTTTATTTCCGGGCAGTTTTTACATTCTACACA